AGAAAGGAAGATTGGATATAGGTCTATAATTGACCAAGTCATCTGGGTCAAGAGACAGTTTTTTAAGCAAGGGTTTAATCAAAACAACCTTAAAAGCCTTTGGTACATGTCCCTGTAACAGAGATAGATTAATCACATCTAAAATGGAAGAGGAGATCAAAGGGAACACCACCTTATAAATAAGATGTTTTGAACTGGATCTAAGCAAGGGTTTAATCAAAACAACCTTAAAAGCCTTTGGTACATGTCCCTGTAACAGAGATAGATTAATCACATCTAAAATGGAGGAGGAGATCAAAGGGAACACCACCTTATAAATAAGATGTTTTGAACTGGATCTAACATACAAGTTGAAGGCTTAGATGAGGACAAAAGTTTTGCTAACTCTGAAAGTTCAAAGGTATGTAAACAGTCTTAACCTGGTTCAGATTCCATGAATACCTCAGATGCTGCTTCACCTTCCAGAAATAAAAAGAGAAGTGTATATGATCTTAACAACTTATTATTTCTGTTGTTAAATGTGCTATATAAATAAAGTGGATTGGAGTGGAAGTCCAACGATTATCCAGGAGTCCAACAATCTCTAGTTGGAACCTTTCAACCTCGTGCACTAACTCAGGCTCCTTCCCCACCAGAGAGGTGACATTCCATGTCCCAAGAGACAGCTTCTTCAGCTGAGGGTCAGAACGCCAGGGTCCCTGCCCTTGACTGCCACCCATCACACACTGCACCCGACCCCTTTGGCCCCTCCTACAGGTGGTGAGCCCATTTGAAAGCGGAACCATGTTTGCTCTTCGGGCTGTGCCACCAGGTTCTCGCCAGCGTGCCCCTACCTCCAGGCCTGGCTCCACAATAGGGCCCCGGTGACCCACGTCTGGGTGAGGGAACACTAGATTAATTTATGTTACTCATCATAAAGGGTCTTTTGGCTGCTCTTTGTCTGGTCCCTCAGCTAGGACCTGTCTGCCTTGGGTGACCCTACTAGGGGGCATAAAGCCCCCAGACTGCATAGCTCCTAAGATCATTGGGACCCTCAAACCCCTCCACCACAATAAGGTGACAGCCCAGGGAGGGGTTAGTTCAGAGTGTTTAACTGATATCTTTGACTTGGAGCTGAATGATTTTTGTCAATAAATAAGACCATGATTAGTGCTTTCATTTATTGTTCTAACACTAGCTAGTAGGGCTGTGTGTCATAAACAGTATATAACAGCCAAAATATTATCTGATTAAATAAGATATTTTATCACCCCTACCAGGGAGGGCAATAAATGTCTTAAAGTATCAGAAATATAAAGTTCAAGCTTGCTAGGAATTGAAAAGAACATAAAATCACAACATATATATATATACAAAGACTGGAACCAATTGTGGTACCTCCAGAACCAGGAAACCACAGGGAGTATTCTAGCTGGGAAGGGAGCACCCCAGGCCCGATAATTACCCAGGGCAGTACACGGGTTATGACTCAGCATTTTACATAGAATATAAAACATGATAAATGCCAATACTAGCCATTTGATACATAAATGTCCCACATTGGACCCTTGTGTTGTGCCGCAGCACCCCCACACGCTCATAATGGACCA